TTTATGCCAAGCAAATTGAGAAATGTATTTCCCCTCCATCACTCATAATCATGAACCTAAACCCATACAATAATTCTTTCAGCCTATTTACAATGGTGGCTGGATATTTGTCCTCAGTGAGCCATTTGTGGCTGGATATTTGTCCTCAGTGAGCCATTTTGTAAATCTCTCCTGAGTCTTGAACAGGTGTTGGTCTGCCTTGTAGTGATGAAATTTGTAGAGCTGAAAAGTTCCCTGCTGTAAAAAAAAAAAAAGGTCAAAGTGAAATGGCTTTGAATTTATTACCTATCCAAGAGACAGATATGGCTTAAATCTTAGGGGGGGAAAAGCCTCTTTGGGGAAGAAGCTATATTACTTCTAGTACAGTGTTTCTCAACCTTGGCAACTTGAAGATGTCCGGACTTCAACTCCCAGAATTCCCCAGCCAGCAAATTGAGAAACACTGTTCTAGTACAATGATGGCTAACATTTTCCAGACTGAATGCCCGAACCCCCAAAATGCAATGCATGAACAGTCCGGTGCATGCACTCCACCCCCGTGCATGCACATGCAACTCCCCATGCACCCTGCTCCCCCCTCCGTGCATGTGCTCCCCTCGCACATGTGTGGCAGAGACCCGAAGACCAGCTGGCCGGAGGGAGGCGCACACGCATGTGCGATGGAGCTGAGCTGGGGAGAGGTGCTGCATGCTACCTCTGGCATGTGTGCCATAGGTTCACCATCACAGTTCTAGTATGTATAATGAGTGTTCTCCCAAGAAGCAGAGATTTCCTCTTATTTGAGAAGAAATCCATCAAAATGTTTCTTCCTATTTTATTTATTTCAATGGAATTGTATGAATATCCATTTCACCACTGCAACTCTGGGAAACTCACAAATTTTTTTTTAAACAAATATATACAAATATGTATCTTGACAATCTAGAAATAAAAAATGGACATCAAGCTCTTGTTTGTAAGAGGAAACCATCTATGTACATTTGTGTTTCTGTCAGTTTGACAATCATTTTTAGCCAGATGTAAACCCAGTCAGGGTGAAGAATCTTTTGCAAACCAATATTTTGAAATTTGAACTTGTTTCTCCCAAGCTAATTTCTGTTGCAATACTCTATTTCCTACTGGATTCAGACCTGGAAATGTAGTCCAAAAAGGCACTAAAACATGGCTACTGTGTAGCAATTTTCTTTCACCTTATGGCCTTCAGATGCTTTGGGACTCAGAGGTTTTGTGCACACTGGTAAGCTTGTTGAAATATCTATTTATGCACCCACCAACTCTCTATAATGTAATTTTCCCCCCTTAATTGTTTGTAGCTCATTTACTTGTAGTCAAGTAGATTTTTTTTGGGGGGGGAGCGATAAAGCAAAAGCAAAATACTGGAATAATTATTTGAATCAGTATTAGTCTACCTGATTATTTTATATATTGAATCATTCTAGTTTGTCCAGGGTGGCCCAAGGCAATTCTCTGTAAAGTATTATCCCCTTAACTTAAGGGCCTTAAGGATGCCTATTTGGACAACCCTTATTATTAAGGTTTTCGGAGTACCTTCAGCTAACAATTCTGGTGAATATGAATGGGAGTAAATATGGAAGCTACATTAGGACCAGTCGTCCCTGAACAACGTTGGTCTCTAATTTCCAAGTAAAGAGGTATCATCTTATGTAATTTCAAAGCAGGCTTTTCCTCCCCTCCTTTCTTTAGGAAATATCACTAACCAATTGATCGGGCAATTTAATCAATCATTTTGAAAGTATCTTGGCTCATAGAGCGCTAAGAGAGGCAGAAACGGGGATTTAAGCATCCTTTGTAGGGGAAAGCCTCCAGCTCCCGGACGCCGCCAGGTTGTGCCCTGAAAAGCGGCCATCCTTCTCGATCTCCGCAGCTTCCCAGCGCTTTTCAAGCGGGCGACGCCACCTCCTCTATTTCATCTGAGCCTCCTCAGCGCCTTGCAGAAAAGCTTGTCCTTCCGAGTCCCCGGCAGCCCATCCGCCGCTTTGGGCCACCCAGCTGGCTCTCCCCCCCACTTTACATTCGAGCCCATAGATGCTTCTGAAGAGGCGCCGCCAACTCCCTCAGCCCTAGAAGCCCGAGAAAGGGTCCGAACCCGTCGGGCAAACTCCCCGTCCCTTCGGACAACGAGCCGTCCGCCCGGGAGACTCGAGCGCCCAGCGTCCCGCATCCTTCCCCGCTACTTTTCCTCCCCCCCTCCTTCTCGTCCACTCCCCCCCGCCCCACCACCGCCTACTTCTAACGCTCAACCAATCGGCGCTCGCTGCTCCGTGCGCCCCCCCCCCACCCGTCCTCATCCCAAACTGCGGTCCAGCCCAATTGTTTATTCAGCGGCTGGGCCAACGGCACGCGCCGGGCGCACGCACTTGCAACAACAAACCTCGGAAGGGGAGAGGCGGAGGGGAGAAGAAGGGGCGGAGCACCGGCCCAAACGCGTGTGCGGGGTTTTCGCCGGTCTCTCCTACCGCCTCGTGCACGTGCGCGCGGGCGGGCGGGCGCTTCCCGGCGTCTCGAGCTTTCCTCGCCACCCATCCATCTTCCTCACTCACCCCACCCGCAAAGAAAGTCCTTCCACACCCCCACACCCCCCGCAATGAAAAGGCGGCAGCTCTCTTCCGCCCGCTGCCATTCACTGCAAAGCCGGGAGTGTGTGGAAGGCGCAAGGTGCAGGGTGGGTGTGAGGAGACGGAGAGGCAGCCGAAGGGGGAGGAGGAGGAGGCGCGAGCGTAGGAGTGGGGGGGGGGAGAGTGAAGTGTGAAAAGAAGGGGGGGAGGGAGAGACGGCAAGCGGAGCTTCGGCCATCCCTTATAAGAGAGACAATCTCTGGTCCTTTTTTGGCAAAAGAGCTTTGGCCAAGCAGGCTGCACACACGCGAGCGCCACGAGCCTCCTTCGGTTGCAAAGAAAGGGGGAGGAGGGAAAGCCAAGCGGTGCCATCGCAGCTCGCTCGCTTTCTACCTTCTGCAAGCCTCCCCCTCCTTTCCCTTCCCGATTCCTTCTTCTTCTCCTTCTTCTACCTCCCCCGCGCCAAAGGCCAGCAAACGCCGCGCGCCCCGCCGCGCGCCTTGCCTCCTCCGTGCGGCCGCCCAATGGCCAGTGGCAGCCCTGCCAAGATGGACAGCAGCGCCAGCCAGCCGCCGCCTCCCCCGCCGTTCCTCCAGCCCGCCTGCTTCTTCGCGGCCGCTGCAGCGGCCGCCGCCGCAGTAGCCGCTTCACAAAGCGCGCAGCAGCAGCTGAGGCCGGCGGCGGGCGGCCAACAGAACCAGCCCTCTCCGGGCGCCGCCAAAGCGCCTGCTGCGGCTGCGCCGAAGCAGCCTCAGCAGCAGGTCAAGAGGCAGCGCTCGGCGTCGCCGGAGTTGATGCGCTGCAAGAGACGCCTCAACTTCAGCGGTTTCGGCTACAGCCTCCCTCAGCAGCAGCCGGCGGCGGTGGCGCGGCGGAACGAGCGGGAAAGGAACCGCGTCAAGCTCGTCAACCTGGGCTTCGCCACCCTCCGCGAGCACGTCCCCAACGGCGCCGCCAACAAGAAGATGAGCAAAGTGGAGACGCTGCGCTCGGCCGTCGAGTACATCCGAGCCCTCCAGCAACTGCTCGACGAACACGACGCCGTCAGCGCCGCCTTCCAGGCCGGCGTCCTCTCGCCCACCATCTCCCCCAATTACCCCAACGACATGAACTCCATGGCAGGCTCGCCTGTCTCCTCGTACTCCTCGGACGAAGGGTCCTACGATCCCCTCAGCCCCGAAGAGCAGGAACTGCTGGATTTCACCAACTGGTTCTGAGAGGCCCTGGTGGCCCCTTGCCGCGTTGACTTTGCAGCAGGTGGGTTTGGCTTGGCTTGGCTTGGCTTCTCGGGCAGGGATTCCAGGCACGGGGAGGGGTGGCAGCCGCAGCGGTGGACACTTGGGGAGGCGCCGGTGGCCCCTCGTGCGCATGGAGAGGAGGAGGAAGGAGGAGAAGGAGGCAGCTTTGCTGGTCCTAGAGAAGGCCGCAGCGGCTGCTGTGAAGAAGGGCATTTTACAAACTCAGCCGGCTGACTTTACCATAAGGAATGTGGCAGAGGACTCCAAAGACACTTATGAGGGTTTGGGGAATGAGAACTGCATCCCATTCCCAGTCCCATAACAGTCTTAACCTAGTCCTTGACAGGGGCTGTCTAAATAACCACAAGTTAACCACAAATGGCTGCTGCTTTTGTGGAAGATGCTCAGTGGCAAAACAGTACCCCAGCTTAACACTAACCGAGCTTGACATGTTGAGGGAGAGCAGCCACTAATTTTTTAACTGACCTCATTAAGCTGTTCTGTTTGTGCAGCCAATGAGACTTGATCTGTGGTCTGTTTTTTTCAGTTGATGGCAATAAGTTTAACTGAGAATGGGGTGACTTTATTAAAACTGAAGATCTTGCTTAGATTCCCAAGTGACAAGTGGAAGATGGGGTGGGGATGGGGCATGTAGGCGTATTAGCATGTGAGGCTGCTGCAGACCATTCCTGCAGTAGCTTGAGTGATTCTTAGTAATACCGGTCAGTAAAATAGCCCTGGCCTAAATGGGTTTGTGTATTGTAAAATATGACTCCCTAGATAAGGGGAAAAAAACAATTGTTGTAGCTCTGGAAAAATAGTTTCTATACCTCTGGGAATCTCGGTGAGGCAGAAAGCTTTTCTCAAGTAGCTGGATTCCACTCTACTTAGACTGGTATTATATGTTTCCTTACATTAAAGCCCCACTCCAAAGCCCCACTCCCCTAAATAAACAAGTGTAAAGATCAATTGGAAGACATTATCAGATACCATATCTGAGTTTTTGTTTGCTGGCCTTATAATCCAAAAGCAATTTATCTGGAAGAAAGTCAACATTTCCAAGTAAACAGGGCCCATAGTTTTGTGATACAAACATCCAAAGGAAATCATTTCCAATTGTGACTGGTAGGGGATGATACCCATCCTGTGACAGTAAGCAGGACCATCCATGGCCATAAGTAGACAACTTGCGTCACATCATGTCACACATTGTCATATCTGTCACCATAAATAGATTGCCTGTGTCATGTCATTTACATCTTGAGCCTCATCAGTTCCTGATTGGAAGATTGTGTGCAGATTCTTTTGAGATGTGCCATAGAAGAAAAGCTCAAAAAGACTAATTAAACAGCCCTGTATTTAGTGCAGTTAAATGCATCTATTTAATAGATGCATCTTCCTATGTGATATGTTTTAACACTACAGACAAAAGCTAAAAGTACTCTGTTTTTCTATATAAAAGCATCTTCAAGACTTTTAGAATAGACACATATGACTGAACATCCTAGGACTGAATTGTTAAATGGTGACACTGAATGTAATGAGAATTGTACAACAACTCTAAATGATTTACTTGGTAGGTATTTAAGAAAAATCCAAATGGGCAAGTATAGTGCAATCACATATGCACACATTTAGAAGTTAAGACTTGTTTTGCTTTATGGAGTAGCAACCTGTCATTCCAAAGCCAGCTGTTTTGAGAATTGCTGTTTCCATTTAGGTCATATGTTAACATCGCTTTGTCTTCTCTTTTCTTATGTTGCACAGGACTTCCTGGAAAATCATTCCATCTTACTACTACTACTTTCCCCTTTCGTTGTGGAAAGGAAAGGAAAGCCAAGACACTGAATGAAGCACAGAAGGAAATAAACTTCCTCTCCACAAAACCTGAAGCACTCCCAAATTCTGTCTTTGCACTCCAGCTGTTTAAAGAGACATGCAGCCCGGGTCTGTGGGCATTTACTAGGAAATAAAGTCCACTGAACTGAATAGGACTTACTATTCCCAATAAGTATGCATAGAATTACAGACCAATGATTCAATCTCTTATACACTTACTGAAAGTGTAGCTTGCTTGCAAGTAAAGATGTAAAATCAGGCTGCACACAATGGACCCAGAAGCAAAAAGGAGAGCTGTGATGTGAAAATATCTATCTACCTATTCTTTACCCCAAAGTTAAGTTATACTGCCTATTTCACTACTGCCTACTCATAAATCTTCAACAGAAGTAGAAGCTTCCCTTTTTACTGAAATACAGTATTGCCTCTACCCCTTTCCAAAAAATGTTTTCACTACCTTCTGGCCATAAATTGAAACACAAGCTAATTATATGTGTCAGAAAGTAACAGGATTCATTCAGATAGAACTATTATGTGGTCAGACCAACATTAAGCATATTTGCTAAATTCAGAAATCTGTGTGAGAGGGCCTGCAATCCTGGTTGCCTAATGCTTGGGAAGCTGTGGAAACTCCAAACTATGCTCTACTCAAAGAATTGTCTGAAATGTCCTATCTTTGTCTACTGTCCAACTACCATGCCCATTATAAAATGCTTCCATTTTTTTCTTGCAAACTTTTTATTATATAAAAAAAATCTATTTGTATCAAGCCTAACCAATTTGGGGGATATATTAAGCTATTTTTGTATATAAGAGCCAGAAAAATTTATAGCCTTTTTTGTACAAATGGTATAAAATATGTATATCTTGATAACTTTTTTAAAGATATGTGATGCTTATTACCTCTTCCTGTCTAGATATGTGTGTGTAGACAATATGACCTTACAACTGCCATGTTTTTGTTATGTGGTTTTGTAAAGGACTTGGAAATGCCTCCAAATGTACTTTAGCACCAATGTGTCTTACTTTTTTATAGAAAGTTTGCTAATGTATTAATAAACAATGTTCAAAATGAACAAACTTTATGCAGCTATTGTCCAAACACAAAATGGTAGCTATTTATTTTACAAGCTGCTGCCTTTTGAAGAAAAAAGAAAAGAGAGGGAAACACTCTTTTACTGCCTTTCCATTCTGTTTTATTATAAACTCACAAAAGTCATGTGTAACGACATTTTATACAAAATAGTTTGGTAATAAACTTTGTTTCAATTAAAATGAAGTCTTCCTGGTTGTTGTGTACCGTTCTGCCATTGATTAAACCTGTACAGGAAAGGCAAATATTTGGGTGGCATGTCACTTCTAAACAGCCATATATAGGATTTCTATACAAAAGCTCCCCATATTATGCTGGTATTCTTTTGCCTTTCTATTTTGTAAATGTCTGTTAAATCAAGAGAGGCCTGCCTGTCTGCCTCTTCCATTGTCCTTCATTGTAACCACTGGACATTTCAAAATTTTCTCCATAGAATGGATCCCAACAGAGAGGGGGCTCTTTCCTACATCTACAAGTCTTTCAAATTTGACCACCTTCTGATAAAACAGGGTGTTGAGGATAGATCAGATTGGGCCGGGGGGGGGGGGGGGATTAGGAGGCTGACTAGTAGGGGCTTGTGTGGAGAGGCTATTAATATATAATTGCTTTTAATGGCTATTAATATATAATTGCTTTTATAAGGCATTGTACATAAAATCGCTGGAGGTATGAGTCAGTGATGGAAAAATCAAACTAAAAAAATTATTAAGCAATGAAAGAGAACTGCGTACCTTGGATTCATTGATCTTTCTAGCTGTTATGTTCTCTCAACAGCGTGATCTGTGTGTAAAAGTACCCAATTACCAAGACTCAAAAAGAAATTGGGGCCTTCTCTCTCACTCCTTTTTTGGCTAGCCTCCTTGTCAGTTAGTAAAGACGTGACTAGAATCTATCTCAGGCTCATTCCCCACCACTGCCACCCTCTTCCCCATCCCCTTCCCCCCCTCTCCTGCTTTCGTGCTCAGCTCCTCCAGCGTCGCTTTCCAATTCAGTTTGCGCGTCCCAACACCACACTAAAGTGGCGTGCATCCTATGAAACAAGCATCCTATCCAATGAAAATCAAACGGCTCAAAGTAGGCAGCCACACCGTCTTTCAAATCCAGCTTGCTCAAAACGAACGGCAAATCATGCAGAAATTATCCAGGCATAGGCTATAAAGGAATTTTATTTAATTTGCTAGCATTGCATTTCCATACATTCAGCCTCCCCTCCCCACCCACCCACCCACCCCCGCCCTTTCCCCCTTGTTTCTCTCTTTTCCCCATTAATATGCTGCTTGGAGAGAGAATGGGAAAGCAAGCAGAAAACATCCCAGCACTCTTTACTTGACTACAAATATTCATTGTTGAATTTGATCTTGGAACCACTGTTTGATTATGAAAATAGCAACGGTTATTACCCACCCCCATCTGTTTCCCCCACCCACTTTCCTAAGTCTGATCTCTCTCTCTCTTCCTCCCACCCTCCCTCAACCCCCTCTCTCATTTTTTTAAAAAAAGATTTATTTTTACACTGGTGCCATTATAAGGTTTCCAAACTGAATTTAGCTATAATTTATGGCTATGAGTAAGAATCCTGATCATTTTGATCTGAATGGCTAAGTTAACATTTCCATATGTGGTCCAATGTTGTGGGGGGGGGGGTTCCATCTATTTCTCCCTCTGTCCCTCCCCCTCTAACACACACACACACACACACACACACACACACACACACACACACACACTAAATCAGATCTGAAGATGATGCTTCCTCTGAGAGATAAATGAAGTTCTTTCACTGCTTCTAACAAAGTCCAAGACAGTAACACCCATATTTTATCTTCTGAATAGATCATATCACTTCCCTGGGGGACCAAGAAGGTTGTGAGGTAAATCTCTGAGCATTTAAGCATTACAAAAGTTTTTTTGTTGTGCTAGGAGGAAAGCTACTCAGGAACTTTGACATGTTGGATTCAGCATTTATAAACTCCATAAACCAAAGAAACCACTTTAATTGCATGGTTCGATTTTCCAATTACCGTTATGGACTGAGATGGGTGAGGACCAGGTCAATTCACTAGAAATGCAGGTGGACATTTTAATGGGAAGGCAGAACCTGACAAAGCCTTTTGCAAATACATCTCAGCTATGTTTTTTTAGCCCTTTATAATAAACGATTAGTGGATCAAGTCAGTAAGCCCTGTTTAAAACGCAGAAACAAAACATGGCTGCAGGCAGCCCAAGAGGCTGCAATGCTTCACAGAAGAACTGGAGGTTGTCTGCAGAGATCCTTTGGTTAGAGTGGAGCTGATGAGCGCAGACAGGGAAAAGATGAAAAAACAGCTACCAACATGCAAGAGTGCGCCATGACAATGGGCTAGCATCCGTGCCTGAATACTCATGATATCCTTTTTGGAATAAACCATCCTATGTAGAGTGCAGAAACAGAGCAAGAAATAACAAAAGCCAAAGAAATAAAAGACAGGGGAAAAAGAATCAAAGATAAAATATGCTTATAATAAAGTCATGTATTATACGTCTCCACATCTTTTTATCCTTGAACCCATACCATACCATCCTTACAGTACATTTCAATCAGCTTTGTTTTCTAAACTTCTCCACTCTTCTTTCTGTTGGAAAGAGAAATACTCATTTTTAAATAATGAAGTGGACAAAAACATGTTACTTTTGCTTGTTCTGGAAATATTTTTTTCTCACAACAGGCCTTTCTACCACTATTTGAATGTATTAAAATTTTTCTGTTTCCCTATTTTTAGTGACCATCATGAAAAAATACACAAATTCAGCTTCTTGCCTTATTTTTTTACTGTTATATGTAACTGTTTATTATGAACTTGCTGCTCTTACAGTTATCTGACTCTGTACACTAGACATAGTTTACAACAAAACATACAATGTATGACATTACACTAAATATTTCTCTCTCTCAAATTCCCATTTGTAGGAATTTATAGTTTATTTATTTGTATAAAATTTATATTGCCACCTACTCGCACATGACGAATCAAGGCAGCTTACAAAGATATAAAAACACACATAAGAGAAATAAAATAATAATATAAAGAAAAATAATAACCCTCCACACATACCCCACATATCCTGGTGACAACACACATTTATTTTATTTATTTATTAATAAATAAACAAAAACTAGAATAAGAATAAAAATACAGTATCAGGGATGATAGGCACGTTAGTGCATTTATGCATGCCCCCTCTAATAACCACTTAAGTATGATGTAATCCAATCAACATTAAGAAAACAAAGATCATGGCATCTGGGCCTCTCAATTCCAGGCAAATAGATGGGGAAGAAATGGAGGTAGTGACAGATTTTATTTTCCTGGGTTCCAAGATGACCGCAAATGGGGACTGCAGCCAAGAAATTAAAAGACGCTTGATCCTGTGAAGGAAAGCTATGGGAAATCTATGCAGAGATATCACCCTGCCATAGTGTGTATAGTCAAGGCTATGGTTTTCCCAGTTGCAATGTATTGCTGTGAAAGTTGGACCATAAGAAAGGCTGAAT